CCGTATCCATTCCATCCAGCACTCCGACGAGGTACTTCCGATAAGCGTCGAAGCCCTTGCGAACGCCTTTTCAAGGCCCGCCCTTCTGCTTCTTTGACATACCCTTTACTGGCCGTTCGAAGGATTTCACGACGGCGTCGGATATGGTATACCCAGAGTGTACAAAGCAATGTGGCTGGTCGAATCGTTCTTTCGACCCTCGTAGCCCGATTGAGGACTGTGAGACGGGTAAACACAGGGCGAACGGGAGCCAACACGATCCCACCCTGCCTAATCTGCTCTACAACTGACCCGCATCGTGCTTCAGTCACATGATCCACTTCTTCCACATCGTGCACGTGTGCGAAGTGGAACAAGTGGATCATGTGATTGGGGCATACTGATGATCAGTCGTAGGGTTAGTTTAAATGGCGGTTTGGGGTTTTATTAGACTAGCTGTGTGTTGGAGCGCGGGTGAACAGGTACGGCATCAGCGTATGGGATCAGCGAGGTTTGAATTTTGAAACTTGCACTCCTTAGGAGCCTTATAGAGACTTCAGAGGAGTGCAAGTTCCAAACTTCACACAGCGCTGACCCCATACGCTGGTGTGTACAAGGAGATGGGAGCGAAGGGAAGCGCTTGTCTGGTGTTTGCGGGCAGCGGGGTGGGGTCGTATTGAGCGATGAGCTTTTGGGATAGTATTCTGGGTGTTGTGAGGATGTTTAGCTGATGGCGGCCTTCTTGCACGCTCGCACAAATCTGAAGGGTTGTTTCCTGGGTTGTGTGCAGTTTGTAGGCATCTTAGGCGGCATGTGAGATGTTAGACAGCGCATATATCATACGCGGAGCATACACAAACGTACTGGACGACCTAAAGGTCAATGACTGAGTTGGTTGGTGACATTACCACGTATTATTAAATCTACACTTTTGCAGTCCCACCTAACCGCACCTCAGACATGAAATAATCAGGCCCCTTCATACATACATGACGAACCGAAAAAAAAATCAGGGGTATAACCTCCACAAACTCCATTACCATGCCACGCTTGAAAACGCCCACTTTTGTTCATGACCAAATACGTACATGCGTAATGAAACAAGTATACGAGCCACCAGAACAGAGCCACAAAATAGATCTTCATCAGTCACTAAGATCGATAATCTCAACCTCAGCCGGAACCGACCGACGCGCAGCAACAGGTTCAGGCGTGGCACTCGAAACACCCTCTCTGAGTTCAGCTTTAGGAATCCACTTTCCATCCTGCCTCACCAGGATATGGCGCGTATTTGCCCGTCCATGGGCCTCAAGCTGCTTCTTGACTTCCTCCATGAAGCCGTCGACGAAGAGCATCTGCGGCCTCGCGTCGGATTTGCAAATGGGGCATTTCCACTGATCGGCTACGGATGCGTCGCCCTTGCGTGGCCGGGATTGGAGGAACGTTTCTAGGTCGAAGCAGTCGTTGTGCGGACAGGCTTTGCTGCGGACGGGGATGTCGCACATTTTGGCTTGGCTGAAGGGGTCGAAGAGGCCGATGGTGAGGGTGCTTTCGACGACGCTGATTTCGTCGTCGTCGACGGCGGAGAGTTTGTTTTTGATGCCTTGTAGGACTTTGTCTGCGGGGACGCGACTTTGGTTTAGACAGTGTTTTACGATGGACTCGTGGGATGAGACGACCATGGCCTCGATGGCGAGCATGTAGTTGAGATGAGATTTCTCGCCGGACCGAGCCATTACTGCAATTTCCAAAACGTTCTCGCCTTCTTTCAGCAGGCCCGTGAGGTCGATGGGCATGTCTTTTCCATAGTGAATCTTCTTCCGCGGTTCGAGAGGAGTGTCGTTGAGCGTGTAATACGAGTGAGGTATCCAAGACGTATCCGCGACAGCCCAGCGTTCCTCTGTCCACTCAGGCTCCGGCCATTTGACGCAACGTAAACGAGCAAACTTCGTGGTCTCGTTGATGTTCACAGTACCAGGTCCACCCATTTGATCTGGAACAGTCTTTCCAATCCTCTGCATATCATAAGGTGTCAGAGTGGTTGTCCATTTCTCAATGGCACGGCCTGGCGAGGACAACCGCGTTGGGGGTTTGAGGAAGTTTTGACAAAATGTGTACAGCGGCGAGGATTTGGATTGCGCACGAAGAACTGGACTTCTGAGATGAGCTTGGTGTAGTCCAAAGCGTGCTGGATTGGGTACACGCTGTTGTGGTTGTTGCCAGCCAGCAGCAGGAAGCAAGGGCCCCCCACGTGGAGGCGGCGCCACCCCTGTAGATTGGGCAGGGCGTGTGGGAGGACGACCAGGCCCACGCGACTGCTGTATAGCAGCTTGTGCCGAACCCTGGTCAACCGATCTGGTCGTGCGCGGTGGCATTTGTTGGGGATGGTTGAAAGGCGGAACAGCGGGCGAGCTGGTTTGTACTCGTTGTGGTTGGGGCTGGGCTTGCACTTGCTGCGGTTGCGATGGAGGGGCCTGGTGGGTCTGTACCTGTTGCTGAGGTTGGGGAGCGCCGTACGTATGATCAGCCAATGAAGCGCCGTTCTTGCGAAGGTTAGCCTCGAATGCCTCGACTAGCGCTCTCAGGTTAGAGCCCCAAATTCGTTCCTCGTCGTGTTTTAATTGCTGGCTCTGCTCAGGCGTCTCCGTAGCTGAGGAAGCATGCCGTGAGTAGTGGTAGTTTTGATTCTGCTCGAAGACACCAAGTATGTCGTTCTCGAAGTTTGCAAGCAAGGGTTTGACATTAGGATTCGAGACCACCGCGCGGCAAATACACCGCAGAAAAGCGGTGAAGAGCAGACGCTGGAAAGTGAGAGAATGAACGCGGAGTTCGACAACAAGTTCTCGGACGAGGGGCGGGAATCGACGGTGCTCGCATATCGCCTTCAGTTGGTTGTAGTTGGGCGACTGGTCAACAAACTGTCTGAAAAGCTGTGCTTGGTACTCGAATGTGGCCGGCCACATGGCTGCAATTTGCTGCATCGGGTATGGGAAATGGGAGAAGAAGTGAAGATAACTAGGCGATAGTATGTGGTTTGCATCAAGAACATCGTGCAATATCCTCTGCGCTTGTTGTAAACCTGGCAATGACTTCAACCCCGGCGGCAGCATGTGAGGGGCGTGGGTCATCAGGCAGTAACATTGATGCATAGTAAGATAGGGCCAGTCTGACAGCTCAACAGCGTTCTGCAGCACAAGAAAGCGTTTCCTGTCCTGAGAGTGAGGCGATATTGGGGGTGCTGATGCCTGGAATTGCCCTAAGATCTGCAGACAGTCTTTCTTTGTATACCAGCCCTGGCTCATGAAATCAGGGGCCAAGGGGGTTGTAGGCGTGTTATCAGGCTGTACGGAGCGAGATACAGGCCGGGATATTGGGTCGTGCGAGACTGCTTGTGGCAGCCCGTAGGGCGAGTATGGCTGAGGAGGTGTTCTACTGAGGCGCGGATCTTGGAATAGCATGCCCTGGGGCAGTTGTGGCGATGCCATCATGCCGAGCGACGGGCTGCGATTAACGGTCTGACCCATCTGACCCAGCATAGGACTGCCGATCTGTGAGTAGTGGCCGGACGGTCGACGCGGAAGGTCCGGCGGAGGATTCGTCGGGTTTGCTACCGGCCCTGCATAAGCCTCACTGCGCCTCCGCTTGTCCATTTGTTGCGCATATCTTTCGTTGACTCTTTTCGCAGGAGCAGTCTCGTGCGGTGCTGGGGGCGGACAGCGCGATGTCTCTTCGCTTGGCGTGGGCGACGGAAGCACGCGGGCTGCCGAATGCCCGTGGTGGGCGCTGTTCTGGTGGGCGACGACATTTGGGAGCTGCGGGGACGTCGAGTTCGATAGTGGCTGCGGCTCGGTTTCGACGGTTGGGCGCGTGATCAGGTTCTCTGCGGGTGCGTGTGTGGAGGAGGGAACAGTAAACCGGGGCTGCTTGCGAGGCCTTCCGCGACCGCGCACGGTGAAGGGTAGTGGGTTTTGTGTGAGTTCGGCAGGAACGATGGGCGGCTGGGCAGGCGCGCTGGAGGGCAGCGGCGTCATCCAGCTCTTCTGTCGGCCCCCAAGGTTGCCCAGCGCATAGTTGAGCGTCTGGGCTGTCGCATCGTCTGGCACTCCTGGGGTCATGGCGTGACTCCCGGTGTGGTACATGCCGCTTTGTTATGTTGTGTATATTCGCTTGAGGGTACGCGCTGGTCGCCTTCGAGTGCTGGACATGGGCGAGTTGGAATGTGGGGAGTTCATGTCGCGCAGGGAGATTGTGAGCGACTCAGTGCATGGTAGGCGCGGCGGGTCGTGGGTGCCGAATGTGGATGTGGAGGGAGAAGGAGTTTTCGCTGTCCAGGCTGCCGCGAGACACGTGAGAGAAGGCGCGACGGGGTGAGGTGAACGTCGGCCTCGCGATGGCAGTGAGCCCTCACGACACCCGATGGCATGGCGCACGGACAGCGATGTTTCGCGAACATGCCAGGTCGCTTTGGGCCAAGGCCATGGGCGCCGCCGGGGGCTCTGGACGCTGGACGGCAAATCGTCAGCGGCCAAGTCAGAACCGCTCCAGGGCTGCCCGCTGCCGTGCAAACCCACTCTGCCAATAGGCGCAGCGCCTAGTCGAGATTTGCTTTGGAGCGCCCGGTGCGTCCGTGGTTTTGCCAACCGACGTAATTCATATCGCATGCAGGCTAGGTCGCCTACTGCTTCCAAGGATGCACATGGCTAGCTTCATGCCTCTCTGTCCCACCACCCAAGTATAGACACGACACCCCCGGCAGCCGCACGACGACGGGATCAAGCAATATACCTCCCCCCTCGCTCCAAACAACATCGCCACTTTGTTTCATTGCGCACCTGTCAGGCTGTTTCAGGTAGCGGTGGCTCGGTAGCCAGCATTTATAGTCTGCCAAACGTCCGACTGTTGCGCCCGCCTCGCCCGCCGATAGCGCGAACTCCCACGAGGATGAACCACCTGTACTGATCTGGAGACTGCCCGCATACACGCCCCCCGACCCGACCCAGTCTTGGAGAGCAGCTGTAAGCATGGCGCAACGAACCCACACCGAGGGCTGCCGGCCTGGCGATACCCTCGTCGTAGTGCGTATGTTTCCCCTCACCCGTGCTGCCACTGCGTCGCACATGCCAGCGACAGCTGCTGACAGCACTTGCAGACGAGTTCCTCGCCCGCAGTCCCGACGAGCTGAGCCTGAGGCGCGGAGACCGCATCGAGCTGATTGAGCGCGACGACGACTTTGGCGATGGCTGGTTTCTAGGCAAGAACACCGAGACGGGAGAGAACGGCCTGTTTCCTGAAGGTATGTTGCGCTATCGACGGCAGCACAGTAGTGCACATCCCCTATCTATCTGATCGTCATGCTTCCTTTTGCGAGCAACACAGCTGATGTATATCAGTATACACACGGCCAGCACCCAAACCGACGCCCATCCCGACCATGCTCTCGCGCAATCCCTCGCAAATGTCCGTGCAATCAGAAAAACCATCGCCTCAGCCCGGCATGGCCGTTTCTGAGCCGCCGACCACCGCCGCACAGCCACCAGCTTCCACGAGCGCCCCTCCACCTTTAAAGTCTGCACCCACAGAGCCCCTGAACATCGCGTCGGGACCAGAAGTTGCTCGCCGAACATCTATACAAAATGGCCCGCGGAGCATCAGCATGACGTTGAGCGGGGAGGCGCCACCAGAAGACGAGACGATAGGAAGCCCCGTCATGCACGAAACGCTGAGCGTCATCGACGAGCACATCACGGGCATGAGCACGCCGCGCCACAGCGCCGTGGGCAAGGAGATACGGTCCAATGACTCGGGAAGCGAATACAGCAGCCACCACCGGCTGTCATACATCAACGGGCAGGAAACCGACGAGGAGGAGCAGAGCTGGCACACCGAGGAGGAGGTCAAGACATGGTCGCCTGCGCGCGTCGCCGAATACCTCGAGGACGCGGGCGTGGAGAAGAAGCACTGCGATGTGTTCCGCGACCAAGAAATCGATGGCGAGGCGCTGCTGGGCGTGGACCGCAACTTCATCTTCATGCAGGAATTCAATCTGGGCCCCATGGGACCACGACTGCGCACGTGGATGAAGATTAACGCCTTGCAGTCCGAGGTCAAGAACGCGAAGGAAGCCGAAGCTGCAAGGACGACCCTTCTCCTGCCGCCTTCAGATAGCCCAGACGAGTTCCCAGCCGATATGGGAAGGAGCAGGGCTGCATCAACTGGGGCGGTCCTTCCTCGCATACCGACGCTCAGGGAAAGCATCGGATCCCGAGGCAACACCAGCCGTCAGCACATCCCACGTGCAGCCTCATCCGCCGGCCGATCGTCTACCATCGACGCGACCTCTCCACTGATCCAGCACACGCCCGCCTCACCTACGCCCGGTTCGCCTAGACGACCCTCCGCTGCTTCCGTCCGAAGTATGAACCACAGCAGACGCCACTCTTCTATCGAATACGGGCAGGGACCACCCACGCCTAGTACGCCCAGTTTAATGAAGCCGCCTACATCTGCACCCATGGCCGCCCACGCACACAGGAAGACGCCATCATTCGACCGCAACTGGACCATGGGTTCGACATCGCTGTCCAAGTCCGTACAAGATATCGGCAGACCGGTCTCATCACATCACCATCATGCTTCAAGTACCAACGGAACTACGTTCGACTTCCGCGAGGCCGGCTTAGGCTCCGGGGATCTCGACCGCGGCTACTTTTCCGGAGGCGAGGTCGACAACCGCAAGAGTAGCAGGAACGTTCTGCGCAAGAGAGAAAGCGCCGCGAGCCATTCACGCAATGCTAGTTACACGACCGAAGGCGCACAGCGCGCGTCGTTCAGTCGCCGACACAGCCGAATCGGCAGCGCAGATTCGGCTCTCCGGCCAGCGAGTCCAATTTCCGCTGCCGCGAAACAGTACTACGGTACCAGCACCAAAAGCGAGCGCAGCTCTAGTGCATTCGACTTTGTGCGCCCTCTCAAGCCAGCAAGCGAAACGCATCCAACCGTGACCAAGCTCTCATATGATGCGCACAGCATTGACGCCATTGCAAATTCGCCCCACGTCGCAGGTAGCGAGACCTCAAGCACAGGTCGTGCATCACCTTCGCCAGCTGCTGTACCATCTCATACGCGCTCGTTCTTCAGCAGTAAAAAGGGATCACAATCTAGGGGTCTTCGAGCGATATCAGACGCGATAACCGGCGGCGAGAAGGCGAATTTGAGCTCCGCCGATGTTTCCACCACACAACACAAGGACTCACCGATGCAGTCACCCTCGCGGACGGGATCTAGCACACCCTCTGGAACATCACTATCGAAGAGTTTCGAGCTTGAAAAGGCCGATAACAACAGGCGGTTTACCGCTGGCTCGACCACGCCCAAGGACGCAAAGAAAAAGGCCAAGAAGCATGGCACTAGTGCATATCTCAAGGGCCGTCAGCAGATCACCCCGCAACAAGCCATGGAGAACTGCGACTACAGCGGCTGGATGAAGAAGAAGTCTTCGAGTCTTATGACGACATGGAAGACGCGCCTATTCGTGCTTCGTGGCCGCCGCCTTGCCTACTACTACACGGAGAATGATACCGAAGAGAAAGGTCTCATCGACATATCGTCGCATCGCGTGCTACCAGCGAACAACGAGAGGATGACAGGCCTCCATGCGTCTCTAACAGGTGCGGCCAACTCACCTACATCTCCGCACAATGCCACCATACAGACAACGGCATCTGCGGATAGCGCCAAAGGCATTCCAGGTCTGGAAGAAGACGTCTCAGGCATGTTCATCTTCAAGCTTGTACCACCTCGTGCAGGGCTACAGAAAGGTGTCCAGTTCACCAAACCCATTGTGCACTACTTCGCGGTCGATAGCCTTGCCGTGGGCCGACTCTGGATGGCTGCGCTCATGAAAGCCACAATCGACCGAGACGAAGCCCTTCCCTTTACAACCACCTACCAGCAAAAGACCATCTCACTGGAAAAGGCACGCGCGATGCGTCAACGGCCACCAAACCTCATGGACGAAGACGGAATCGAAGATGCCGAAAGGAAGAGCGAGATCTCGAAAGAGAGCATCCAAGAAAGCACCATTCACGAAGAAGACGAGAAGGGCCTCGCGATATCGGGACTTGATGACGCGAAGGCGCTGTTGGCGTACGCCGATAGCCCCGAGGAACACAAACACGACAGCACCGCAACGGCGATTGCGATGTAGTCGAAATAGTGTCGTGTCTCCTCTTCCCTCTCTCTCTTCTGATACCATCCCGTTCGATTTCAAGTTCAGTACATGCATTAATACTCGCCCGCTCCACGGATTGCTGTCATCGGAGACGATAGCAATTGCATCAGCGAGGCTTTGGGTCAGGCGTTCTTTCCAGCGATAGCGAAACCCACAACCATTTTTCTTTTTCTTTTTCTCATCAATATACTGTCCTGAAGGCTGCCTAGGTAGTCATCCTTCATCACAACAACATACCCCTCTCTGTTCTGCTTTCATCGGTGGTTTTGCGATATAGCCTTGCGTGCGTCATATACTGCATCTTAGCATTATCGATGATGAGAATCTTTACCTTCACCTGTCTTGCGCTGTCTGTTATCTATGATGGTAGAATGAAAGAGGATCTAGCGAAAAGCGAGGCTTTATAGCTTGTCTTTGTCGAGCGCGGATAGATGTAGTTAGTGCCTGTATGGAGAGATGACAATGTGTAATAGTACGATTGATAGACTGGATTCCGCGCTTGGAGTAAGTGACTGTGAGGCTTTGCTTGACGTGATGCCGCCGTAGTCGCACCAGAGTAATCCGTTCCATCTCTAGCTATGTAACGCTCGATTCCAAATATAACAGTACCGGACAACGATACGGGTATAGTACTGCACTGACAGACAGCTACTACGAGAGCGTCAAGGACCGTAACGGGCACTTAACGCTACAGGCGCAAAGGCAGGAATCGGAAGTCCGATTGATGCGCCGGTAAGCTTTACCAGTAAGAAGAAAAGCATGAAGACAGAAAAGAGGCTCGTCATGTGTTTTAACATTTGTTTATTTGTTCTTCTTCTTTCCTTGAGTCAAGGTCCTGCGCAGTGCAGCCTTCCATCCATCCATCCATCCAACGATGTGTTATATAGTACTGAAACTTATGAATCTAAAGCGAGTGTCTTGGGGGGGTATCATCATCTCCATCTGCATTCCAAACAAATCAAACCACACAAAAAAAGCGCAAGCAAACCACCAAACCATGGAAAAAAACGCCAATGCTGATGCTGCTGTAACGCAAGACCATCGCTGTTTGCTAAGTGAGGGACTCTCACATCACACTCCTCTTCCTCCTCATCTTAATCTTCAACTCACTATTCTCCCTCTCCTTCGGACTCTCCATTGGTGCAAACCAATCCCGGAGTCCACATTGCTCTTCCAGACTCCTGAAGAGATCGTCCACGCGATCAAGCATCCAGCCACTCCGTATCCGCGCACCGGGCTTCGCGTAACCCAGTTTGAAGCTGTTGGAAATTGCGCAACTGCCCTCGTTGAAGGAGAATTGCATGCAATCATCCTGTTCTTCACACAGCGTACGGCAGTGTTCAAAGGACTTCCAGGCGTTGCGCTCGAGTTCGTTGGCGACGGCGGAGTGGTCGTGGGCGTTGTATTCTTTGTCGGCGGACATGTTGTCCCAGGCTGTGACTGAAGGGCCGATCTTAGGTCGCACGAGCTCCATGAAGATGTCGCGGTGGCGCAGCAGAATCGGGTGTCTGTTGTACCAGTCCTGTTCGAAAGACCAGAGTTCTTGGATTTCGGTGGGCGAAACGTGGTGATACGTTACAGCCGGGTAGCACCAGAGGTCGCGGTCGATTTTGGAAGTCGCAGGATCGAGCGTCGCCGGGGAGTCGCCTTGGAAGTGGGGGAAGGCGCGGTGGAGGGGGATGTTTACGTCTTCGAGGACTTTGCCGAGAGCGCAGTCGCCGACCCAGTGGGTTTTGGTGAAATCTTCGTATTCGGAGATGCGGGGGGAGCGTTGGGCGGAGACTTTACGTGCGGCGGGGGCAGAGAGGGCGAAGCCTGCGCCACCGTAGGCGAATTCGACTTCGTTGATGAAGAGGTGCTTGCCGATGTAGTAGGACTTGCTGTCATCGAAGTTGCTGAGGAATTCGAGTAGGTTGTTCCAGTTGACGTAGGTGTCGGCTTCCATGAAGAAATACCATTTGGCGTCTGGCTTCTCCTCGAGTGCTTGGTCGATCATGGGGAGGAACTTCCACTTGTCGAGCTGCCAGCCATCGTTGTCGGTTCGCAGGTAGTCACCCTGCGACGATCCGGATAGCGATGTGAGAACTTCTTGTCGTTTCACGCCTCGTCTTCCGTGCTCTTGTAGTTGGTGGTACAGCTTGAAGTCGTCATTCGTCTTCTTCGTCTCTTCGCTAACTCCTTCGAGGACGTCGTGGACGACGTGTCCGTCTATCTCCTCTTCCAGGTCCGAGTGTATAACATAGTGGGGGACGCAACGTAACGTGGTACGGAGGTGCACCGGCACCTTTTCGAGTGATTCGGTGGCCCCGGTTCGCAAGACGACCAAGACGTCATCGGCGAGCTTGGACTGCGGGCAAAAGAGTTCCTGGGGGTGCTCATGCGCCGAGGTCTTTGCGGCGTGGAAGAGCGGCGGGGTGGCCTTGGTGAAGATATTAAGGACGGATACGGCGAATACGGCGCAGAAGATTAGTCGGCATAGGAAGGAGCGATTAGGCATGGCAGTCTAATAGTGGTGGTGCAGCGCCGGGCTGAACCGCGAATAGTCTAAGTAAAGAGTGTAGTGGGTGGAAAGGACAGTATAGTAATAAGAAGAATGAACGTGTGTATGGATCTCGCTAGTGTTCTGATAGAGAGTGGAGATGCGGTGCCGTAGCCATCGGATGCCGGCGGAGGTTGGGCAAAGCGGGGAGCGAGGTAGCAGCGGAGTGTAGTTCGTATGAATAAGGAAAGACGAGGAAGGTTCAAGGGAGGAGGCATGCTCCTCTTGAGCGACTTGTAGGCTATGGCGATCATAACCTTTTGGCATGACCGTGTGCGCAAGTGGCCGAAGCGACCTGGCGATCAATGCCCCCGGTGTGGATTCGTCAAATGCGCCGGACCTGTCACGGCGTGTCATTCCCGTGCGAGTAGGATCGCCACAAACCGCGGTGAGCAGGGCATGATGATAATGGCGCGTTATGAAGCACGGCGCTGACCTTGCAGCATGGCTGATGCTACTCTGAGGCTGCGCCGTACGAGCTTACGGGGGCGTGAAGCTGCACAGTGGCAGAGTTTTGGGTGTGGTAATGGGTGCCGAGGGGCTGGTAACCTGGGGCATGAGGCGTTGCGCCTACCGCTTCTAGCGCTACGTCATGGCCCGTTTCAGGTGGCTGGTTTGGGCATCGCGGATTCGGATCGGCATTTCCTGCTGCCTCATTGTGGAAGTTTGTATCCTGGCGTTGATCTCCATCATCAATCCAAATGAACGCGCGTCGACAAAAGGAGTACCCTCGGAGTGCCCTCACCTGATCTTTGTGAGGGATATTCCATGCTTCGACGTCCCATGGGCAGTTCACGATGCCTCATTTCCGCCGTTCCTGTCAAATCCACCACTCACGCTACTCCGCTTGGAGTCGTTCAACACTGAAAAGAAATTATGCGCGACAAAGTTCGGGTCGTGATACGAGAGTCCTGCCGATGCGACGGTGGTTCAAACAACGCGCATGGATATTTTCCTTCTGTCCGCAAAGGAACAGTAGCAAACCACGAAGGGGTCTTGTTTCAATGCCTGTCTTCACACAATCTTCTTTGTCGGCTTCACAACATCCCCTTCCAGTCTTGCTTCTTTGATTCAATAGCCTTGCGTGTATCAACTGTGTATAAAAGCTAACCTCACGACTACTCCTTGTCTTTCAAAAAAGCATACTAACTTCCTCAACGCTCAGCGCCCGAATACGACCCAAGTAACGGCGAAGCAACGGCAAACCAGTCCAAAAGGAACGTTGCACTACCAAACTTCTACCATGAGTCAACAGTTTTTCCAACGGCAGCAGCCGGGTATCGCTGTCCAATATCCCGAGATTACTCAACGGCAAGTGTGGGCCCTCGCTGCCGGTTATGTACTTTACTTCGTTCTGAGCATTACGGCTCTGATATGGTATAACCGATATGTGGAAGGGAGAGATCGTCAGCGTTGAACGCTGAGTGCGCATGGACAACTGCTGCAAACATGGAGCTCTGTTGATGAACACGAATACTGTAAGAGTCCTTAGGCTGGTGCTGATGGTCGACTGAGTCTTCAGGTCACGCGGACTTGACCTCATGTTTCCCGATACCCTTGGTGGCATGAGAGCTGGAAGGCGTTCTTTGGTGTTATATTTTCAACGCTGTTCTTTTCGCTTCTCGTGTCTATTTGCTGAGATTCACCTTGTGCTCGCGGGTCTACGGCCTGAGCCATAAAGTCAAGCTTCACAAAGCGCAGCGAATAGTCGCCGCTCATGAAAGGCATACGCTCAATGCCAGTCTACATATACACCTACGGCTCCCTACTTACGTACATAACAAGGTCATAGTGAGATATACGTGACGGCTGGTCGCACCGTCCCAAAATCATCACAGTACTGGAAGCGTCAAAGAGCGAAGTTGAAGTGTGTTGCTTCAGCCGCCAGCTGAGAGGCTATACAAGCCAACACGCCCGTCATCTGGGTTGAGTTCACGAGTTCGGTAAGGACCCATTGGAATGCACATCAGGCCACGAACGAGCGGCACCGGAGCGTTCTCCGACAGCTCAGTGTCTTCAACCCACCAAAACAGTCGCTCGGCACTTTACACTTCACCGACCATAGCCCAAAACGAATACCAGGACGGTGGAACACGGCGCGAAGCTATCCAAAATGCATGCAGACCGTTAGCTGAACGTTTGCGAAGTAGCCGGAAGACTGTGGGGCGCCACGCATTTTTGATCACTAGTCACACCGACAGATGTTAAGATGGCAAAAGGCCGTGGTGGTACTCACCCAAGTACCTCTGCACGAGGTGTCCGGCGACGCTTCGCGATTAGCACTTGCAAATCTTGACTCCAAAGCCTCCTACCTGGAGTCGCTTGAGAAATGTGCTCTAGCATTTGCGGCGACTGTACACATCCCAAGCACAACTTCATTTTCTCTCCCTCATGTACATCCCGAGCAGCCGAAGAATGACGCTGCAATAAATTAAAT